GCGTCCTGCTGCCTCAGGTCTGTCTCAGGTTGACCCACCCCCCTTGGTTGAGCCTTTGGAGGTGTCCTCTGACACCTCTGGCCCAGCTGAGGGGGGTGACCCTGCTGCTGACGACACAGCGGCCTCTCGCCGCTCACCGCGCTTGGAGACCCCTCCTGGTTTTCCGCCTTGGCCGTCTTCACCGCCTCTGCAGCCTGTCACTGTGGACACCGGTGCCGCTAGGGGTAGTGACACCGGAGGTGCGGACTCTGGGGGTGCTGGTTCTGGGGGTGCTGAATCTAGAGGTGCTGGTTTTGGGGGTGCTGAGTCTGGGGGTGCTGGTTCTGGGGGTGCTGAGCGTTCTAGTGGTGGTGGAGTCGTGGGTGCTCCTGCTGGAGGGTCTGGGGGTGGACAGCAGCAGCATTCTTGTCGGCAGGAGACTCTCTCGCCACAGCAGCTTCGCGAGTGGGTTGTCCGACGAGGCCGCTCTGGTGGCGGAGCTGGAGGTGCTCGTGCTGGAGGTACTGGAGCTGGAGGTGCTGGGGGTGCTGGTGCTGGAGGCGCTGGTGTTGGAGGTGCTGGAGCTCGAGACAATGGAGGTGCTGGTGGTGCTGGAGGTGGAGGTACTGGAGGTGCTGGTGCTGGAGGTAGTGGTGCTGGGGTTACTGGAGGTGCTGGAGCTGGAGGTGCTGGAGGTGCTGGTACTGGGGGTGCTACACAGCGGCGACCGTTATTCTGGCCCCAGCCGCTGTCGTCGCTGCCACCACCTGACTCGGTGCTTTGCGAGGTTCTCAGTCTTCTGTGTCCACCGACTGACCCGACGTGCCTGGCCCTGAGTATGACCTTGCTCGTGCTGCTAGTCCGACTGTCACTCGTTGTCTGTCCGCCCTTGTCACTGACCCTACATTTGAGTCTGCTACTGCGTCTGCATTTGTCACTGAGCTTGTTGACTTTGCTGCTGCCTGCCGCCTTGACTACCTCGCGAGTATTGTTTTTGAGTCTGGCTGTCCTCCGTCCGTTAGGGGTGAGCTTGCCCTTGGCTGTGACGTCCTTGAGGACAGGCAGTTCGAGCTGGAGTGCCTCGCGGCTGCTGTACCTCATCTCGCTGCCATGCTGCTTGCCCCTGAGGGAGACCCCGATGCACTAGACATCCCGACCCCGCGCTCTTACACAGAGGCAATCACGGGTCAGTACTCCTCTCAATGGCAGGAAGCTATGGACGCAGAGATGGTATCCTGGAAGTCCACAGGCACCTACGTCGACGTAGTTCCCCCTCCTGGGGCAAAGATAGTCGATGGCATGTGGATTTTCAGGGTGAAGCGGCCGCCAGGTTCCCCGCCTGTCTTCAAGGCGCGTTACGTTGCACGATGCTTCAGTCAGCGTGAGGGGGTCGACTTTTTTCAGACCCTCTCCCCCACCCCGAAGATGACCACTCTTCGGGTGTTACTGTACGTTGCAGCACATCGTGACTACGAGCTGCACTCAGTCGGCTTCCCGGCAACTTTCTGTTGCGATATATATTTTATATATATTTATAACTGCCTGTAGCTTTAGCTTTAGTGTAGTTATGTTACCTTGCTGTTGGTGGTGCACCTTTGCTTTGACCTATATTTTGTGCTGTTTTCTCATTAGTGAACAACCCATTCTCCATTCTCTCTTGCACAAGCTACTCTCGACACCCTTGGCCTAGGCTACTAAGCCTATGCCCTCCTAAACCCAGTTATCAGCTAAGTCAATAATTTGACATGGTATTGAGCTATCAAGATCCTAGACCTACGTTAATGGGCCCACCATTCCCACCTGCTGCTGCCCGTAGACCCGCCCGTCGCATCCTGTACATGGCGAACGCGCCAGCAGCCTGTGGCGAGCCCATAGTAGCTCGCGCCAACAACTCGCCTGCTTGCACGCTAGGAACCCGCTTGCCAGCTCGCCAACCGACGGACCCGCCGAAGGACCCGCCAGCACGCGAGCCAGTGGACCCGCCGAAGGACCGACCAGCACACGAGCCAGCAGACCCGCGAGCACGTCAGCATGCGAGTTGACGGACCCGCCAACGGACCCGCTAACGCGCGCATCAAAAGACCCGCCGACGGACCCGTTAGCAAGCCCGCCGACGGATCCGCCAACAAACCCGCCGACGGACCCGCCAGCGAGCTCGCCAACGAATCCGGGAACCCGCCAGCAAGCAAGCCAGCTGACCCGCGGATCCGCCAGCAGGCACACCAGCGAACCCGCGAGCCCGCAAGCACGCGAGCCGACGGACCAGCGCCACCGCCGCCGCCACCGCCAACCCAGCCGCCAGTCCCTCTATCCCTTGTTGCCTTCCCTTCCACGATTGCGGCTATGGAGGGGGAGGTGGTGTGGAAGGGGTGGCCGCCGTGAACCACTGCAGCCTCCCGCTCTACCTTGCCTCTCCCCTCCAGCGGCTGCTGCTGTTGGGTGGAGGTGGCGGGGACGGGGGGTGTGGTTCCAGGGGCCAGCTGAAATGGGGGGGTGAGGCGACGGGGAGGGGACGCGACGTGTGTCTCTCTCTAGCGCGCGATTCGACGGGGGTGGGGGGGGTGGGGGGGGGGGGGGGGGCGAGCGCGGGCGCTTAGGGGTAACGGGGCACTACGGGTAACGCGGTCCAGTCTCCACGAGGAGATCTGGCTGCGCCGTCCATCTGGCTTCACTGGGTCGTTTCCTGAGGGTACCTAGTGGAGCCTCCGGCGGCCAGTCTACGATCTCCGTCAGGCACCCCGCGAGTGGCACGACACACTGGCGGTGTTCGCCAGCACACAAAATTTTGAAAGAACTCTGACAGCATCGGAATGGCAACGGAATCAGGAATCGGGGGCGGAACCCGCAGAAGAGGTTTGGGCAAGATGCCACTTCGCGAAATTTCGGGTCCTGAAATGGAAAATGTGGCAACGGGATCAGGAACCCCCATCCCCACCTTCCCCTCTACTGGCATGATTTTTTCGCGTGGCTGACCATTGCCTAACCAGGGGGCCCAAAACTACTGGACTAGGGTAAAAATCGAAAAGAAAAAACGAGCCAGCTCGAAGGTGAGCAGCTCGAGGTGTATTCGAGAGGGGAAAATTGGGTGTAAATGAACCCCCATTTGTCACTCATTTGGCTCTGGTTGTGGTTACCCTCTGATCTCCAATCACATTGCCATCCCATCGCAATTCACCGTGCAAGGGTGAATTGCGATGGGATGGCATGAGGCGGGATGTTTGCCCGGGGACGAAATTGCTTCCCCATGTCCGAATGCCATGAAGCCATCCGAAATGGAGGAAAATTTAGGGCGTTCGCCAGGCCCTCAAGATTCCATTTGGCTCGGACGGCATCCTAGGTTCGGCAGGATTTTCACGAGCTGACCATGCTAACGGACCTTAACGAACCCTAACTGACGGGATCAGGAAGGCGTGCTTAACCTTCCTGATCCCGTCGTTTTTGCTTTCAAAAGTGCTGGCGAACACCGCCACTAAGGACGACACATGCGGCTCTTGGCCTCGCTCCTTTGACTACCGACCTGTCCCTGTTTCTGCGCACTGACTCTACTTTGCCGCCGTTCTACATCCTCGTGTACGTCGACGACTTGGTCTTTGCGAGTGCTGAAAGTGAGGCACAGGCCCTTGTGAAGGCAGAGCTGTAGATTAGACACACTTGCACTGACATGGGTGAGCTGCGGAGCTATCTTGGCTTGTAGATCACCCGGGACAGAGCAGCGCTCACCATCACTCTGAAACAGTCACACATGGTGCAGCAGGTCCTTCAGCGCTTCTGCTTTCGGTTCTCCTCGCCACAGCCCACTCCTTTGCCTACATGCCATTCGCTCTCAGCTCCACCTTCGAACGAGTCCGTAGAGCCGAGTGGTTCGTATCCAGAGCTTGTGGGCTGCCTCATGTACCTGATGACGTGCACACGACCTGACCTCGAGTACCCTCTCAGCATCCTGACGCGCTACGTGGCGCCCGGGAGACACCAACCTGAGCACTACCGGGCGGCACAGAGGGTACTACGTTACTTGTGCAGTACATCAAACATGGGGCTTGTGCTTGGAGGACGGGGTCGAGTTGTGCTCACTGGGTACTCTGACACTTCTTGGGCCGACGACCAGGAGACCCAGCGGTCGTTACAGGGTTACACTTTCAGCCTTGGCGCTGGTTCTGTCTCCTGGAGGTCCACCCGCTCGTCTTCAGTACTTAGTTTCAACTGTGAGGCAGAGATCTATGCTGAGCCTGTGGCTGCATAGGAGTTACGCTGGCTGACCTACTTGCTGACTGACTTGGGTGAGCGGCCTCGTTCTCCTCCAGTTCTGTACGTCGACAACAAGGCCATGATTTCCTTGTGTCAGGAGAAGAGGCTGGAGCACAGAACGAAGCACATCGCTCTTCGTTGCTTTCTTGCACGAGAGCTGCAGCAGCGTGGTCAGCTTCGCCTTGCTTACCTGGCCTCACAGGCCAACACTGCTGATATCTTCACCAAGGCCCACGGGTCTGGTGATCATCAGCATTTCTTCACTACTCTTGGGCTTGTGCCCACCCTGCCCCACTTGCTTGTCTCTTGATCTAGCTTTGGCCTTGTTGTTCACTGCTATAAATCTATGTACCTGCATGTTTTCACTTTCTAGGTTGTGATAAGTGTACTGCCATTGCTATTATAACTCTGCATGTGAACTGGCCTTGTGGCCACTTGCTTGTGCTCAGACTTCGTGGTGATCTTCAGATCCACCTTGAGCTTTGCCTTGCTTCTTTGCTTGACTGGTCTTGTGACCGTTTGTTGTGCTGGCCATCCCTCACTTTGCCTCTGGGGGTGTGTCAAACTATACATTTGTTAGGTTGTAGGCTACAGTGAGGTTCACTCTAGAGGGGATAACCCAATTAGGGTTTACTACTTGTATCTCACTGCTGCATAGTTCAATCATTCCTTCTGCTTAGTTTCGACACTACGGGTGAGACACGGCGGGGCTATCGTCGGACCCTGAGACGTTTGCAAAGAATCACGAGCTGGAGGTGATTCGCTCGCGCTAGGCCATGCTCGGCGCGCTTGGCATCGTCTTCTCCGAGATGCTGGCGCGCAACGGCGTGGCGCTGCAAGAGGCGGTGTGGTTCAAGGCGGGTGCACAAATCTTCTCCGAGGGCGGGCTCGACTACCTGGGCAACCCCGGGCTAATCCACGCGCAAAGCATCCTCGCCACGCTCGCCGTTCATGTATGTTCGTTGTTTAGGTCACTCTCGCTTTTAAGCTCCCCGTTCAGGTGCGCTTCAAAAGCACGAATCCTTATTTTTTCTCACATTCCCTGCTTTCACTCGACGTCCATGTGAAGGTCGTCCAAATATTGCGCAGATCCCACTCTATTGGAAAACAAGAAATTTCATATTAGTTAGCTCAACGCGACCTTACGCTTGTAACGCGGTAACCCGATGTCGTGTTCCCCTGGTGGTGGTGCTGGGTGCGGTGGAGAGCTACAGCGTGGGTGGTTTGGAGGGGTTCCAAGAGGTGGAGGATCCGATCTACTCGTGCAACGCGTTCGACCCGCTGGGGCTGGCGGACGATCCCGACGCGGCGACGGAGCACAAGGTGAAGGAGCTCAAGGACGGCCGCCTCGCGCAGGTGTCTGTGCTTGGCTTTTCGTGCAGGCGATTGTGACGGGCAAGGGGCCCCTCGAGAACCTCGCGGACCACCTCGCAGACCCCACTGCCAACAATGCGTGGGCGTACGTGCAGAACTTCGTCCCCGGTGCGTAGAGGGATGGAGAGAGGTTTGACGAGCTTGGAGGTTTTGAAGGAGTTGGAGGGAGTTTGAGGTGTCAGAATGTGTGGGGTTAGTGACAGCATGTATCTTTACAGCCAGAATTTGTGTAATATGTATGTAATCTGACATTTGTAACGGTACATTCCGGGCGTGACATGTCCAGAAGGTAAGTGTCGCAGTCCCTTTTTTCGCGAGCCGCGCCCAAATGTGTTGAAACCTCGCATCTCAAAGCACGAATGTATTACGACATTGTTCCTTGTGCGCGACAGTACAGGTGGTGATCTAGGATTGCACAAATGCCTCTAATAGCACATTTCATAGGTTCTATAGTGTGGCCATACGCCCCAGTGACAACTACGACAAGAATGTGCCTATAGACACAGGCCGCGCAAGTTGTAAAGCGCTGTCGGAGTTCTCGTAGCGCAATTCACAAACACAAGCAAGCATCAATCACACAACTCCTGGGATGCATGCACACTATAACATCCAATCCAGGGAACAGAAAGCACTCTACGCTGTAGTGCTACTATGGAAGAGCCGCACACAGTACCGTTTCTGTTATGCCTGCTTGGTGCCTGGATCTCGTATTATTACACCATTTTCCTAAATGTCGTCGCCAAGTCCGTAGTTGGGTTGCTGGAAGCGTGAGTCTTCGAGGATGACGAAGCTTCCACATCCTCGTCACGGCTTGCAAGCTTGGAGCACAGGCGCCGCCGGCGGACTTTGAGGCGACGACGTTTCCAGCTGTGGGTTGAAGACCTGGAAGGCATGCGGGATGATGATTTCATGGACATTTACCGGATTAATTACGCTATTCTTGATCACATAAGGACGGCATGTACTAGTTCATGCAGCCATCTGTCGAACGAATGACGCAGCGATTCTAGTGGTGATAAAGTATCTGGCCAGCGGCATCTCATATATAGATATGCCTTACTTGTTTGGCACAACGAAGACCTTGTGTCACGAGCTAGTCGACATCTTCCTGGAAAACTTCCCATCGGTGTACAAGGCTGTGTGGGTGCGCCTCCTGGCGCGTGAAGTCCTCGATGTAATGGCGGAGGAGTTCCGCGCCATAAAGGGAATACCTGCCATGTTAGGAGCTATAGCCGGCATGCACATTGAAATGAAAGGGATGGATGGCAACGGACAAAGTAAGTCAGCATACATGTGATGCCAAAGGGGTCATACGGGATTACCTCATAGGGTATCCTGGGAGTGCGTACGATCAGAGAATTTTTATGCTCAGTGCACTTCATGAAAGGTTACAGAGAGGGGACATCGCCCCGTACCAACTAGTGGGGGATGCATCCTACCCACTCAGAGACTTCTGCCTGACCCCCCTGCATGCTGTTAGAACTGAACGAGGATGAATGAACTAGGCAGCAGGGTGATACAAGTAGGAAACCCTAGCAATGTTGTACCCCCTAAGGCTAAACCCACTATAGCCTACACAATATAAACATGTATAATGTTTGACACACCCCCATAGGCGAAGTGGGGGACAACCAGATGGTCACAAGACCAGTCAAAGCAAAGCAAAGCAAGCTCAGGGTGGATCTCAAGGAAACCACACAAATTCCGAGCACAAGCAAGCGGTCACAGTTCACATGCAGTTTGATAATATAACAAGAGGTACAGTGATCACAACCTAGCAAGTGTAAGCATGCAGGTATATATATATAGAGATCACAGTACAAACAGAGTCAAGAAGTAAGCAAGTGAGGCACAGTAGGCACAAGGCCGAGAACAGTACAGAAATGCTGATGATCACAAGGCTGAAGCGCCTTGGTGAACACATCAGCAGTGTTGGCCCGAGTGGCCACGTAAGCAAGACGAAGCTGACCACGCTGCTGCAACTCTCGAGCAAGGAAGTAGAGCAGAGCGATGTGCTTCGTTCTGTGCTCCGGTCTATGCTCCTGACACAAGGCAATGGCGGCCTTGTTGTCGACGTACAGCACTGGAGGAGAACGAGGCCGCTCTCCCAGGTCGGTCAGCAGGTAGGTGAGCCAGCGTAACTCCTGTGCAGCCATGGCTGTGGCGTAGATCTCAGCCTCACAACTGGAGCTGAGAACTGAAGACGAGCGTGTAGAACGCCAAGAAACTGAACCAGAGCCAAGGCTGAAGGTGTAACCCTGAGACGACCGCTGTGCAGCCTGGTCGTCAACCCAAGAAGCGTTTGAGTGCCCAGTGAGGACAACGTCTCTCCGTCCTCCAAGCACAAGCCCCATGCCCGACGTACTGCACAAGTAGCGCAACACCCTCTTAGCGGCATCCATGTGCTCCTTCCGGTGACGGCCAGGAGCGACATAGCGTGCTAGGATGCTAAGAGGTTATGCAAGGTCAGGTCGAGTGCAGGTCATCAGGTACATGAGGCAGCCCACAAGCTCTGGATACGGGCCACTCGGCTCTACGGACTCATCCGAAGGCAGAGCTGAGAGCGAGTGACCCGTAGGCAGAGGAGTGGGCTGAGGCGAGGAGTACGTGAAGCGGAAGCGCTGAAGGACCTGCTGCACCATGTGTGACTGAGTCAAGGTGATGGTGCGCTGTGCTCTGTCCCGGGTGATCCGCAAGCCAAGATAGCTTATCAGCTCACCCAGGTCTGTGCACGTGTGTCTCTTCTGCAGCTCCGACTTCACGTGGGCGAGTGCCTCAGTGTCAGCAGTAGCAAAGACCAGGTCGTCTACGTACACGAGAACGTAGAACGGCGGCAGAGTGGTGTCGGTGCGTAGAAACAGCGACGGGTCAGCAGTAGAAGGAGCAAACCCAAGAGCAGCAAGAGTAGTCCTCAGTGTGTCGTGCCACTCACGGGGTGCCTGGCGGAGACCGTAGACTGGCCGCCGGAGGCTCCACTGGGTACCAGCATGGAACGACCCAGTGAAGCCAGGTGGGCGGCGCAGCCAGATCTCCTCGTGCAGGCTGCCCTGTAGGAAAGCTGTGCTGAAGTCAAGAGAGTGGAGCTCGTAGTCACGCTGAGCGGCGACGTGCAGCAGAACCCGAAGAGTGGTCATCTTCGGGGTCGGGGAGAAGGTCTGGAAGAAGTCAACTCCCTCTCGCTGACTGAAGCCTCGTGCAACGTAACACGCCTTAAAGACAGGCGGAGAACCCGGCGGCCGCTTCACCCTGAAAATCCACATGCCACTGACGATGTTCGCCCCAGGTGGGGGAACCTCGTTGACGTAGGTGCCTGTGGACTTCCAGGAAGCCATCTCTGCGTCCATGGCTGTCTGCCACTGAGAGGAGTAGGGACCCTCTATCGCCTCTGCGTAAGAGCGCGGGGTCGGGATGTCTGGTGCATCCGGGTCTCCCTCAGGGGCAATCAGCATGGACACGAGATGAGGTAAAGCAGCGGCAAAGCACTCAAACTCCTCCTGTCTGTCCTCAAGGACGTCCGTGCCAAGAGCACACTCACCCCCGACGGACGGAGGACAGACAGACTCAGACTCAGCAACAAGGCTAGCGGCGTAGTCTAGACGACAGGCGGCAGCAAAGTCAACCAACTCAGCGACTAGAGCAGACGCAGCAGAGGACTCAAAGGTAGGGTCAGTGACAACAGTGGCGAGGAAACGCGTGACAGTAGGACTGGCAGCACGAAGAGAGTCAGACTCCGGGTCCGGACCGTCAGGAAGAGAGGACGCAGGAGGAGACGGCAGAGGGACACGCTGTGGAGCAGTGGAAGGACGCAGAGTCATATAGTGAGTGCCAAGTACAGGAGGAGGACGCTGACGCGGAGCACGACGACCATCGCGGACAGCGCAGACAGGCGACTCTGGACGAGACTCAGGCGACTCAGGACGAGACTCTGGCGACGCAGGACGAGACTCAGGCTCACGACGCTCCGTAAGACCTCTAGTCGGCCCAGCGTAGGGAGAAGGACCAGGCAGTGGAGAGGCAAGCGGTAACTGTGACTGCGACTGGACAGGTGGTGGACTCACTAGGGAAGGAGAAGGACCAGTGGAGGGCGGGAGGCCAAGAACCTGCTGAAGGAGCGGAACGTAGTACGGCCGCGGCCGCTCAGCACCTCCTGAACCAGCAGAGACAGCACTAGCACCCTCAGCCCCAGGGTCTCCAGCGACAACTCCCGCAGTACCACCAGCAACCCCAGCAGCTCCAGTACCTCCAGCTCCAACCCCCGCAGCAGCTCCAGTACCTCCAGTACGAGCACCTCCAGAACCAGCGGCTCCAGCAGCACCAGCACCAGCAGTACCTCCAGTAGCTCCAGCACCAGCAGCACCTCCAGCAGCAGCAGCAGCACCTCCAGCACCAGCAGCGCCTCCAGCAGCTCCAGCACCAGCAGCACCTCCAGCACCAACAGCGTCTCCAGCAGCTCCAGCACCAGCAGCACCTCCAGCAGCACCACCAGCAGCTCCTGCGCCAGCAGCACCAGCACCAGCACCAGCTCCAGCTCCAGGGTCCGCGGCACCAGCCGCAGCTCCAGCTCCAGGGTCCGCGGCACCAGCAGCGGCTCCAGCTCCAGGGTCCTCAGCACCAGCAGCAGCTCCAACTCCAGGGTCCGCGGCACCAGCAGCACCACTCCGGAGACTGCAGCGCCGAGCGTACCACTCTCGGAGCTGCTGGGGAGAGGGCGGGGAACCACGAGCACCAGCTCCAGCAGCACCCCTAGCCCCAGAAGCGCCCCTCCAGAGGCTGCAGTACCGCGAGTACCACTCACGCAGCTGCTGGGAAGAGGGAGCGCCTCCAGGCGCAGCACGGTTAGTCGCAGCACCCCCAGGCTCAGTACCCTCAGACGTAGCACTCTCAGGCTCAGCACCCCCAGACTCAGCACCCGCAGGCTCAGCACCCCCAGACTCAGCACCCCCAGGCTCCGCACGCTCAGGCTCAGCACCCCTAGGCTCCGCACGCTCAGGCTCAGCACCCCCAGGCTCCGCACCCCC